ACCAAAGTGATAATGATGCCAAAGTGATTGGTTGCTACCATTTATCCCTTCTATATTTCAATCATCTAGACATGTCAATTAAGATCATTTATTACCTATTTACCCTTTGATTAGGCCTAAATATTAATTCTAAGCTTAAATCCAAAACTTATCATTTTGCCATTAAGGCTTTAACACCTTATAATTCATTAAATCAAACAAATGAATTTACAATTTTTTATACCACCCCACTTATGGGTTAATTAAAACATCAAAGGAGAAAATATGATTTTTATAAATTTATTTAATTTTGTATATTATTTTAATGCAAAAAATAAAAATTTTTAAAGAAAATTTAATAACTCAACCAAAACAAAACTCCTGTCCTTAAGAAAACTATTGAAGGTTTACCAAGGTCAGAGGACCACCTCGACCAATTTTTATGATTTGTTAAGATTTAATTTAGAATTTCATATTTTTGTGATTTATATTTTATTTATTGGAATTGTTGATTGAGTTATTTTAATGGAAAATTAGAGAAAATAAATTTTAACCTTTAAAAAATTAATTTAAGTCTTAAAAAATCAATATCTTCACTTAGAAAATTAGGAAAATTATTTTAATTGCTCCCATGAGATTAGGATGCTAAATGTAAAATTTTGGTGAATTTTAATAATTTTGTGATGTTTAAAATTTTTAATTATTTTTTAATTATTTAAATAGTTAAAAATAGCTTAACAAAATGAAAATTTAACTTTAATTCTATTTTTATTTTTCTTAGATTCCTCTTACCATGGAAAACTCTAGAAACAAATTTGGTGATTTTTTGAATTATATTTGAATTATCTTAATTATTTTAATGTAAAAAAATGAAATTTCACTTAATTAATTCATATTAGTGGTCAACTTAATTCCAATTAAGTTGAAATTTTTATGAGAACTTTCTCTGATAATAAATTATAGTCAAGAATAGCTTTTGTGCCATTTACTTTTATATTTTATCCAATTTAATTATATTTCATTTTTAGGGTTTAATGGCAATTAGAGCTATTTTTAATGAGTTGAACCAAATTTCTATTTTTCTTAGAGTCAGTGAACCTACCAAAATAAATTTTATATTTTTTTGATTAATATTTTAATTATTATAATTATTTTACAAAAATAGACATGATATACTTGAAAAATAGAGATCTCTGCCTAGAGATTTCCCTTGACCTTGAAAGAAGCAGAAAAGATCCCTCATGATAGAGAGAACCAAAGCCCTAAGAATCAAGTTATGGTGAAATGTCCATGCAAATGGAGAATACAAATAAGAAATATAATATTTAATTAGTTAAAAAGCACATATGCATTAAAAAGACATTAAA